TTGTTATGGAAATCATGCCGCGTTGGGAAGCCGTTGCCCCGACGACGCCCCACCGCCCTGCAGCCCCTGGTAGGCGGCAGTCGAGGTACCGGTACGTCCTTCCCCACCCCACATGGCTGCCCGTCCTCGATGGCCCGGAAGCACTGATCACCCTCTGTACTGTGGCTTGCTGTCTGTACCGATACATGTACATGTCAGGTACCTGAGTCTTATTGCCCGTTGTAACTCCAGTTCTGTTGCTTGCTTCTGGACCCGGGAGCTAAGGCACGGAGGAGACGCACGTCATCGAATCTACGCCCGGACTACACCGTACAGTCATCGTCATCACCGGCACAGTCGCGGAACCAGCTGTACTCACCACTCAACATTAGGAGCCACCACGGCAGTGTAGTCGGGCAGCACGTTGTTTGTAGGCCTTTGATTTGGTTGTCATTTTCCCCCATCTTTCTTTCTTTCTCTCCTTCTTTCTCTCCCGTCTTGCCACCCCTTCCTCTCCATCTGCCCATTTGAAAATGCTCATCCCCTTAATCCAACCGTTTCTCCAGACTAAGTAAGCTCTGCTAGTATGACGAGACGGCCCATCCGCCTGTCCATTTATTGTCTTTGTATTGCATGCATGCATTGCCCCTGTTACAATGTGGTATAGGATAAAAAAAATCGAAATGGAAAAAAAATCAAAATCAAACATGCCCCCGGCCAATCCCTTTGCTTAGGGCTTAGACAGAGCTTGCTTTTCCTGGCCTGCTCCTTCTCCTGCGCTGTGCATGACAGATCCTCCAAAGGTAAAAATAAAGCCATATGATGCTATCATCTCCAGTACATGGACAGTCGAAATCCGAATTTATCAACAACAACAAAATTAAGAGGAGTGCTGAACAAGTGTTGGTCCAGTTTACCTAAAGGCGGGCCGGAAAGGCCCTTCAACCTTGACATCCCTAACCCCTTCAGGCATGAGGCGCAGCCATTCGTTCCAACTGTCGAGATCAACTTCGTCGTCGTTCATCAACCGGATCGACATGTTCAGTATCGGGTAGTTATCGTGTAAGCTGTTCCGGAGCGGGTTGCTCTGAGATATAGGGGTGATGAAAATCGAAGGAAGCCGAGAATTTCCTGACATCATCGTGTGCAGAGGTGCTGGAAAGCTCGTCAACACCTCCCGTTCAGGGTTCCTGTCCCGAACCATCATCGGATAACTCGAGAGAAGTGCCGAGTGTAGTTCGGCGGCTGAACAAGGGTGCATTCGGCTCGCTCGCGTTCGCAACAGCTCTACCAAGGCCAGCGTGAAGGCGCACCGATTCAACGCACTGTAATGCTCGTCTGACGTCGAGGCCGCAATGAGTTCCAAAACCCCCTTTTCGCGACCCATTCGAGAAGATGGGTAATAAGCAGCATCCATGATTAGGAGGGTATCGGCATATGCTTCTTCAAGGATCTGCTGGATCCCGTTCCATCGGATTATCGATGCCTTCTGGCTATCTCTGGAGCTGCTTGGGTGATTAGAATACTACAAGAACCAGCAAAATGAGGCTGGCAGCGCGGAAGAGGAAGGAAAACGTACCTAGCGAGCACCATCTCCCTATTCCCATCAAGATACGTATGACCCACATAGTAGACGATTTTCAAGACATCGCGCTGGTCACGATCCTCAGCAAAGTCTCCCATCTGCCGAGAAAGCCACCGCCACGAGCTCCTGGAGCCATCCGAAGACGAGGGAATTGGCTGTATCTGCAGCGCATAATGGTAGAGCTTCTCCAGAACGTCCGCTAGTTCTCGCACAGCGTTGTGAATGGTAGCCACCTCATCATCGTCGTCTTGCCAAAACAACAGGAGGGCCTGGACTGCGGTATAGCGTGACCGGTTTGCGGTTGACAGCATTCGCATGGCGTTGGATTGTAGCTCATTCTTCAAAGTCTCGATCCCGGGTAGGGAAAGAGACTCTAGGCGCGGACCTGATGGCAGCGGAGTGCGGTGACGGGAATCGCCCGGGGGCGGCGGCCGGCTTGGATGGTTTGATGGGGATCCTGAGTCAATATCCATCTCGTGGGGGTTGTGGGGAAACATATGCTGACCACTGCCCTGAGCTGGCGCTGGACTCAGAGGTCGCCCAGGGGCAAGGGGTGCTATATCGTGTATTGATGGGCTGTGGGATCTGTGGAACTTGTTGACGACGTCCTCCCACGTCATGTTGTGGTGACTCGGTTTACACTTGAGATAAATAATGGTTAGTTAGCGAGGCACTTACACGAAAGGATTTTGCTTTCTGCCACAATCTCTCCCTCCTCGTTTTCTTTCCCAACTGAAATGTTTTGGGGCATGGAATCCAAGCATTGAGCATGAGGAGTTTAATGAAAGTTTGAACAAGGCTACAGCAAGGAACCGTATTCCAATTTCTTTGGATGGAGACAGTACTTACGGCAACTCTTCGTCGGCGGCAGTCGCTGCACGCGCCCAGTTTCCGGATTAAGGCGGCCCGTTCTCTCGATTGCTGGGACAAGGGCCCGGTACGTCTCCTGCTGGTGCGACGGCTGTTAGAGACGTCGGTGCCATCCTTGAGGGAGAAGATAGATTGGTGCAGTGTAGGAGAGGTGTCGGAACTGTACGATGTGTTGGTGGTCTCCGTGGAGGCCTGAGTGGCGCTGGTGGCCTGAGTAGAGATGGACGAGGCAGTGTCCTTTCTCGGCGGAGGAGAAGAGATGAGCGAAGACGGGTGCTGGTGATGCTGGTGCGGCGGCGGCTGCGGCTGAAAGAAGTGCGATGGTGGCGTTGAAGCAACGGCAGTGGCTGCGGAAGCGATGACGGCCGGGGGTTCATCGGGTCTCGGCAGCGGTCCGGGGGCTGGACTTTGCTGCTGTTGCTGCTGCTGCTGCTGCTGCTGGTGATGGGCCGAAGCAAGAATGGCGAGGGACTGGACCGGAGTCGAAATTGGTGGAGGTGGTGACGAGGGCGAGATGGGCGGCGGTAATAATACGGAGGCCGGACCCGAAACTGTCGAGACCGGAGCTGGACCCGGAGTTGGTGAGGAGGAAGCAACGAGCGAGGGAGACGATTCTGGAGGGGCCTCGGCCAGGTTATGAACGGGGTTCATGACAGGCGACGGAGGAGAACTCGAGGAGACGGGCGGGTTTGAAGCAGGTGAGTGAGCCTCAGACGCCCATCATGGTCCAGGATTGGGTTGAACGAGAAAATAGCCCAAGCCGAGGTCCCTACAGCCCAGCGCGTGAGCGACGAATGAGGAGAGAAAGCTAAGGATAGAACGGGACAAGCCCGTACCAAAACCCAGAGGGAGTTTCAACGTGAGAAAAGCAGTAGAGAGGCGTCTTTAAGGAGTTGACGAGGACGGGATGAGAAGCAGAGGAGATCGTCCGGGCGGGATGGCGTCTGACGTGAGGGAAGGCAGAAAAAAAAACAAAGGCAGAAAAAAAGCTCGAGGTAGGAAGAGGAAGGAAGAGGAAGAGGACGCTGAAGACGGGGTGAGGATAGGTACGATGCAACTTCTGCTGTGCGGCGGCAGTGTGCCCCACCTCGATGCAAGACTGGGCTGGCCGGCGGCTTCGAGGTAGGAGGAGCGAGGAACACACGCGGCGATGTCTCTCTTCTGCAGTTGCGTCGACCTACAACGCACCTTGACGCAGCTGGTGGTCCCCGTGCTCGTGCTCGTGCCTGTGTCTAGACCTGTGCCCGTTTTTGACTCTAGCTCTGGCCCCGGTTCTCTTCTGGCCGTGAGGGATCACTGCAGAGAAGAGTAGGTTAGCCCAGACGTTAGCCGGCATCCAATCCTCAGTACATGGGCAGGCAAGTATGTTGTTAGTAGGCCAAGTGCACGGGTGGAATGGACGGATGGCGGGGTAATAACAGCAGGCAAGGTAGATAGACAGGCAGTGAAGTAGCAGCAGTGGGCAGCAAATGCGACAGCTGGACTCGGACTGACTGGCTGCTTCTGGCCAACAGGCTGGGCTGGCCAGTAGACCGGAGGCGTACGAGGAGGGAAACAGGATGAGCGCGTTTATGGAGGAGGAAGACAAGGTACGTACGAAGTGTATGAGAGTGAGAGCGAGGGAGGGATCGTGGACGAGGGAAGAAGAGAGAGACCTAAAAAGACCAGACCGTCGTCTTTCTACCTTGCAGGCAAACCCCGGGCTGCACGGCGAGGAAGGAGATAGAAAACGGCGATGGGAATGGGCAGGTGGTTTAGCTTTGGAGTCGAGGTCGAGAGCACCCAGACCTACCAGAGCTAAGAGGCTGCCGTCTCTTTTTTCTGCTCTGCGCTGCCCTGCGCCTGTGTCTGTCGGCATCGGCGCTGGCGCTGCTGGAACGGGTGCTGGGGCTGCGCTGCGGGTGGTGTGTGTGGTGTGCGCGGGTGGTGGTGTGTGCTTGCGCTGCCCCACCACAGCTAAAGGCAACCTACAGCTCCAGCTACTGATAGGTACAGCTACCTGCCCAGGTACCTTACAGCTTAGTACGGCTACGGCGACATGGAGTGCGGCAGCTCAGCATCAGCCATGAGATGAGGTGGACGCCCAGATGCGTCAATCCAATCCATCCATTCCGGCCAGCAGCCAGCCAAGAGGGCGCGAGCTTGGCCGTTCCCCCAGCCCACACGCGGGGAGTAGTGTCTGTTCTCTTCGTCGACACCCGAGCGCCATCCACCGTCCGTCCCTAATTACCTGTGCCAATATGCGGTCCATGCTCGTGGAGACTGGCGCCCCCCCCTGGTGCCCAGAGACCAGACCGTTGAGATAAATCCTGGGCGTGGCTGAAGCTTGCTCGCTCCAACAGCCACCCCAACCCAAGCACGTACATAGCGTGTACCTATCCTGCCTGGCCGACGAGTAGACTACTCGCTACCCACCCACCACCATGCCTCTGTGCATCTGGTGCGCCATTCTAGCGCCTTATCTACCGATCGATCTACATTGTGACTATGTATCCCGTACTTCTGGCACATTAATCAATCAGTCTCTCAGCTGCTGTTCGAAAGCTTGGCCTGTGGCCCTTCGGAGCTAGGCGACTGGCATTAATCGACCGCGCGACGTGTTATAGCCTCGCAGGAAGAAGCTGCTGCGAGCCACCAGCATCGAACGCTCGTGACGGAGTTTGGTTAAAGCAAGGCCGGTCGGCAGAACCGATGGAGTACGCCTGAACTGGAGAGCGGACCTCCTATTCGCTGGGCTCTGACGGATGTGTCAAAGGAGAAAAAGAAATGGAAAGGAAGAGAAGACCGTCATGATGGATGGGGTGTGGGGGCTGGACGGCCTAAGATGCTGAGGTGCCTGGCCCCCGAAAAACAAACCCTGCAAGGTGGTAGGTATCAGGATGATATAATATGACTTACCTAGCTGCTAGAAGCGCACCATCTAGCAGTTAGGCCCCAGGTGCTACTATCCAACCTGCTCGCCCAGGTTGGCTGCCCCCAGGTGGTTGATACTCACTCCTGCTAAATGAAACTACTCGTTGTCTGTCGAATTCGGAGTGCCCGCTGCATCACAGATGCAGCGGTTAGCGCTAGCACCTAGGTAAGGGACCAGCCGTGCTTGCAAAATGCATAGTCTTGGTTGAGCTCAATAACGTGCTCTTGGAGATCAACGCGATGGGGTATCGACAGGGCAAAGAAGGGCTAGCACCCGACCGACGCGCCCACAATTCGCTTGAGAGCGAGCCGCCTTTGCCATTGGCAAGGTGAACCTGGTCTCGGTCTTAGTTCCACGAGAAAAGAAATTCTGATGCTGTAGACAAAAAATTTGCGGGTAGACGATGTTCTCGTGTCTACCTACCTACCTTCCTAGGTATGGTATTATTGGCCTGCGCACTGGCTGCTTCTCACTGCTTTTGGTTGGGTGAGGGTGAGGGAGTTACTCAGCGGCCGTGGCTAGGATCTTTGCCGGTTGTGATCGGGGCCAGGGGCCAGGGTAGCAGAGACGAAGGCGACCTGGCCTTTGACCTGCTGGGTAATACATGTGTGGTTTTAGGCACGATACACGGCCTGCGTGCATATCAGGACAGGGGCCCAAGGAGGACAACACAGACGCAATCTCCAAAGCCTAAAGGATATGTGCGAAATAGTACATATCAGGCAAGGAACAATGTACTGTGCGTAGTGTAGCTGCAGCAATCCGGGTATGCCAGGATGCCGGAGGCCAATTCCAATGCATATATTCGCGGGCATAACAAACATATATGTAAGTCTGCATCAACGAAAAGGAAAAAAGAGTGCGTCGGCATGTAGGTCTCTCATCCACTCATATTCGGTAGGTACTTTTTTCCCACACTTACCTTTATACCGTACATGGGCTCCTCCTATGGCTGCATCACGGCTAGCCCTAGATTACATCCCACGATGGCTGGCCGGTCTTCTGCTAGGCTTTGTTAGTAGATGCACCTTCTACTCCACGTCAAGCGACCGTATGTTGACGGGGGGGCCAAGGAATAAAGAGCTTGTGATCGATCCAATTTGGAGGGGCCATCCCTGGCCTCCGGTCGCTAATAGGTAAGTGGCTGGAGTTTTGTCTGTCCACTTGGCCGATCCCAAGGTGAGAGGAGATGAGGCAGAGCACCACGGTTCGGCATTCACACATGATTTCGGCATGTATGACGCTGATTTTGTAGTTTCGTGGGCCGATCTAATGCTACGATTCTGTCGGCTTGGGCACCGAGCAAGGGAAAACCCATTGGCAATCTCGTGGCATGCAGGTGGTGATCAGGCCACCAAGGTGAGTGGACTCGACAGGTCCAAGGTGAAGGAGGAAGCCCGTCAATATTTAGCTGTTTCGGAGAGTGGCAGGCTGACCGTGGATTGGCGAGAAAGCGCACCCGATCTGATGACCGACCCAGATATGGACAACATCTCAGCGACACCTCCAGCTCCTGCTGCCCGGGTTGTTGAATTTCTCGGCGCATAGGGCGGTTACCAGCAGCGCCTTGGCCACCGAGGTGCACTCCCCAGCTCCTCGAGCTCAAGCATCCAGTGTCCATTCAGCGTGCAGTTTTTGCCGGGCCGAGTGGGGCGAGCCACCCTTGCTGTTTGACGGGTTGCAATCCCCATTCCATTCAGTCGAAATTAATTATCGCAATGGACAAAGAGAGTCTTGCCTGGATGCAAATCGATGGGTTCTCTTCTTTGGCCGGCTGGCTGTAGGACGCCGTAAACAAGATGCCTGCATGAAATGGCTGTCGGCTCGGCTCATCTGAGTGAGCATGCCTATCGAGGAGGACGTAGGGTTAGTACAGGTACTCAGTGCATAGATCTGCCCCAGCCGAACATGGACCACCGTTGCTTAGCCACATATATTGATGGAGAGTTCGTGCATTAGCGCGCAGCTACGTACCTTGCCGAGCGACATTTCCCAGTGTGTTGTTGGGATAATGGTTCTACTTGCCTGTTCAGGGCACTATCCGGGACCGGGACATAGGTCTGGGCTGGGCGTGCGGAAAATCTAGAAGCCGACGGTAAGCATGGCCATCTCTCACCGTTTACCCACCGACTATTGCAACGTCCAGAAGGACGGGACTGATCACCTCGGAAGCATGCGCGTTGCGTACTGAGCATGCGCCAGTAGGCAATTTCATGGGAGACGTATGCAGTCAATGGATTAATAGCCCGAGCCTCGTTCAAGTTCTTGGCTTGCATGGTCGGATGCTGCCTTTATCATGCGGCAACGACAACCGACATAACGCCATGTGCATTTCCAAGTCGGGGGCCGCTCCCTGGACAGGCATTGGCTGGCATAGTGAATGAATATTGGAGAAGCAGGTAGTAATTACTACTATCGTCTTATATGGAGGATGATGTGAATGCAGCCGGGCATGGATGTGGAAGAGAGAGGTGTGTCGGTAGGTCTAGGGAGGTACTTGGCAGTTTGGATCTTGGACGTGATCGACTGCATCGATGGGCGCACTTGCCTGAATACCAGTAGGCGCAACTCATGTGCGTAAGGTACCTGTACGTCCTGCCAGGCAGAGCCATCATACGGATTGTCACCTGATAGGTACCTACCTAGTGCTGGTCAATGCCCTGAAGGTTCATCTGACTGCCATTCAGCTGGGTTTGGTTTGGTTTGGTTTGGCAGTGGTCACTGTGCTGCTCTTTCCTCCGTTGTTGATGGTTCCTAACAATGGGGAAAGAGCCCGGACCAACCGAACTAGCGAACAATGAGCCGGATTATTGTCCCCTTTCCCTCTGTACCTCCCTCCACTCCCATCTGGAAGATGGATGGCACTAGTCGTGCTTTCCTCCCCCACGCCAATTGTCACTGGCAGACTGGCTTGACCGTTTCTGGCCCCCCTTCCTTCTGTAAAGGTACTGGGAGTGGACAGTACCAGAGAGTACCTCTATACCTCGCCAAATCCACGGGAGAGTGCGTCAGCGGTTGCTTGGATAAGTCGCGGTGTGTAATAATACATGGCTCAACATGTATGTCATGCCGCTGTTTGGCAGACTAGCAGACCTGCCAATCAAGGGGAAACCTTGCTAGCGAAGCCGCTCCCTTTCGTCCTGCATGCAAGACATGAGCTGTGACCTGTCCTGAGCTGTCTGTGGACCCGGAAAGGGCAGAGCGGACTTGCCACCAGCGGTGCTGGCAGACCTTTTGGGAGGTGCAGGCAGCATCCAGCCTCTCGATTAAGTCCACCTCAGAGGGATTGAGTCCAAAGACCCAGCGCTAGAGTCCAGCAGCACGTTGACGTTAAGCTCGTCGTCCGCCTCCACTACATTATCGCCAACTAAGACAGACTAGCACGGCATAAAGCCCGTCCACGAGGGCAAAATCTCTTCTCTCTGGGCCTCCGTCCCACAATCCTATTTTTCTCTCTAAAATTCCCTCCTCACACCCCCATCCAATGCCACGGGGTCCAGTATGTACGTACCTTCATGTGGGTGGGAGACTTGCATTCGACACCCGTCAACCAGCGCCACAGCTCTCACCGAAGACGTGCGCCACCACCATGTCGCGCGCGTGGCCTGCGCTGGCCCGTCTTAGATTTGCAGATGTGTTGATGCAAATGCGGAGAAGCAGGCCCGCAGAGTCCCATGTCCCTTTTCCCTTTGTTTAATTTCTTTGCTTGGCCTTTGTTCTGCGCGAATCTGCCCATCATGCTCGCTTGCTGACTTGTTCCCTCTGCCCTTTTTTATGCCACTCACTCGAACCCTTGGCAGGCCCGCCCGGTAGGCCTCGTATGGCCCGTCCGGTAGGCCGCCCGCGGCTGTGCCGTGTTGGGAGGGGGTCGATCGGTTGGGCTCCAGCAGAGCAGAGCAGAGTCATGTAATGGAAATGGCCGGCGGGTAAGCAGTCGCGTCGTGACTTAACACCGATGTAATGGGAGCGACACCTTCGACATGGCCTGGTAAGAAGCCGAGCCTAGTATTACCTATCTCTAGATGGAGTCTCCGTTCCCACTCTATGCACACCCAATTGATGGTACACCATTTGTCATACACTCCCCTTTTTCATGCGTCGACACTCCCTCCCCCCGGATACGGGCAACCATGGAGAGAGCCATTTCCTGCCAGCCGCGTCTTCAGAAACCGACCACGGCACAGCACAGGGCCCTCCTCCCCTCTTCCCCGGATGGAAACCAAACGTGAGTGTAAGTCAACCTATGCTCTTGTGAAAGAAACTGTTGCTGCTGTACTGTATGTAGCATGACCCGATTCCTGTCTATATAGCAAAGAGAAAGAAAACAAAAACAAAGAATATGAACCCAAGAAAAACTAGCTCAGAGAGCCCCAATCACGACACCGTCCCCTGGGAGAACCCAATGTTGTCCAACTTCCCCTCATCCGTTTTTCGAAATCCAACAAGTTCGCGGTTATCGTCGATCAACCTCCCCCATTCGAGCAGTAGACGGAAAAGATAGACCTCCATGTCCTTCTGTTGCAGCACTTGGTCCGCCCATTTCTGCCCCTGCTGCGCAATGTACTCCCCGTCCTTCGTCCGCGCCTGCATGTTGGTGTCGACGCCGTTGATGGTCTGACGGTCCTCCGTGCCCGTGAAGAACAGATACGTTGTGTGCAGGGACTGGAAGCGAGGGTCGATGGGGACGTAGTGAAGCCAGGGCTGGAGCCGCTCCGTGTACCACGTCCGAAAGATGGTAGACACAAAGGGCACGCTCTTGGAACGCAGAGTGCGCATGAATTGCTTCGATGGGCCGTCGGCCTCGTCTAGTACGACGATGTATCTGTACTCGAGCGGCTCTGCCTCCTCGCCGTCCGCCCCGTACAACTGCTTGGCCAGCTTGCAGTAGTCGCCCTCGCACTTATCACCGCCTCCAAGACCAACCTTGAGCGGCCCGACCGAGTTGGCCTCCGAGACCTTCACTCTCTCGTACCGAAAGTCGGCGAGGGGCTCACCGACAACAACCGTGATCACGTCCCCAGAGGTGTGGTTGCCCGTGAGGAGTTCGAGAAGACGATACTTTGAGCTTCCCCGCAGGATCTGGGAGCTCTTCAGCTCCTGACCAAGATCTCCCATATAGAAGAGAGAATCGAATCTTCGACCGAACCCCCACGTAATATCTGGTTCTTCTTCTTGCATGACTCGAGGCAAAGGGATGAGTATATCCTTAAACGACTCTGTCTTTGCAAAGCTGAAGAGGGGGAGCAGCTCCTGAATAGGGGCCAGCTTAGGGTTCGTCATGTAAAATTCATGGAGGTACCCAAGATCGGGCTGGGAGCACGTCTCGAACGCCTTGTCTCGGTCGTAGATGATGGGCCCCTTCGAGTGCTCCTTGACGCAGTCCTCGCACAACTCCTCGTTCTTCCACGCCACGTTCCTCCTCGCCGCCGAATCCTCGGGACACGCTGCCCATTGCATGCGGCGATAGTCTTTTGCCGCCACGTTCTCCCTATACCGGATGTGTCCGCTCGAGATGTGCTCAGCGGTGGACTTGGAGTGTGCGGTTTCCCAAGAGGGCAGGATGCGAGGCGCGGATCCAAGGTTGATGGGGAGCACCATGTCTGGTAGGTGCACCGAGAAGCGTTCAATCAACTGCACGAGGTCCAGCAAATCCCTGTTCTGTCCTTCGTCACCGGCGTCACTGTGTGTGACCTGGCCGTCCTTGATCGTGATGGTGTGTACCCCAGGCACACTGGTCAGTATGTTAGCCCCCTTCCGCAGGGTATCTGGGCTCATGTTCCAGAACGGAGCCAGGTCTGAGTCTATCTGCGCAAAGTCGTCGATGACGAACGTGCCTTGCGCCTGCGAATACCACTCGGCAAAGTTCGGCGGCGCTGCCCTACCAGGGTGCAGCTCCTCGTATGTCGATAACGCAACATGTAGGCTTTTGCTGGTGGAGACACGTGCACGGTACCGGTCGCTCTCAATGTTGGCCTTGTAAATAAGATCACTCAGAGGGTGCCTTGGAAAGGCGTCCCGCCCCCTGATGGAAGCGATAAACGTAGCAACAAACGTAGTTCCGATAAGGACCACCATGAAGAACTTTCCGATCGCCGCTTGATACCGTATGTAAAGAATAGATGCCAAGGTGATGAACCATAATGGAAAGTACGCCCCCGAGAGAGAATAGCGAATCCAGTCCCCGTAGTACAGAGTCAGGTAGCCCGATGACCATACTCCAAGGCACATGGTGATGATGGTGGCCGGAACGGGCGTTGATGTCTCACACATCCACCATACGCCCGACGCTACAAACACCGCAAAGGCGAAGCCGTCGACGACGGTATCAAACAAAGACCAGGACCCAAAATCAAGGTTCTCCTGGTTTGAAGCCCAAAACGCCGCCAGCAGGGACACAATGGCCATGGCGAGTCCCGAACACACGAGAACCAGGCCCGATGATCGGATGCGCTGCTTGGCTGATCGCGACCACATCAGGAGACGCCATAGGCACACGCAGATGATGGCGTCCAATGCCAGACCAAGGAGCTGGAGAGAGACTACGCTTGTCCGGCTGTCAACAGGGTAGAGACATGCGTACCCTGATTTTGTCTTGTACCCGGACGCCATGGAGGTACTCAGAGAAATAAAGAAGATGGCAACTCCTGTAAGAGACATGCTGACGCGCGGACCGGTGAACCACTCCCTGATGTCGTCGAAGATGTTTCGCCACGGGTCATCCGGATCAAGAGGATCTGGGCCAACCCATCTGCGGCGAGTGGTGAAGATGTCGAACACATATAGAACAAAGGGCAGGAAAGGCTCGATGCCCGTGGTTGCGCATTGGCGCTGGAGGTTGACGGCGTGTAACGCCTCTAATCGGACAACTGTGAGGACGACTATGATGGGTAGCGACAACTGATCAGGTCGCTCGGGAAGGGGAGGCCTGGTGTCCTTGAACTTGGCCTCCACGGGAGAGCTATTAGACAACAAGCCGATGTTATCCTCAGACTGGTGGGTGTCATAGACGATCCTGTCCTCTGCGCCGGGTATAAGTCTGGTGAAAAAGCTGAGGACAAAACAGAAGAAACCCGAAAGGAGAAGTGTAAGAGCAGACGATAGCCTTGGTTGCTCTTGGCGGGTTGTTAGCTTGTTGTTCCATCCTTTTATCTAGGGGCAGTCAAAATATACCTGCTAACCAATGCTTCTCGAGAGACACATGAATATAAGCAAACGACAGCAGCGTGCTATTAAACAACCAGTCAGTCCCCCCATTGCCGTTGCTGTGTCTCAATGCTTCGCATATTGGAGGGCAACTTACCACAGAGCTACTAGGGGTAGGCCTCGACGAGCCATTGTGGCTGGTTAGATAGGTAGATATGTGTATACAGTTGCTCTGCAGCCCATCATCATCCTCTCAAGCAGTCTGGAATTGTCGATGAGATTCAAACGCAAAGGGCCGCAGCATCCGGCAGTATCTGCCCCAGACTTATGATATTTGTCTGTCAGAGGATTGACCGAATCCACACCTTCTGAAACAGCCACTCTAGGTCAATCTATGTCAAATCCGTGGCTCATTCAGGGGGTGATGAGTTTACATAAGCGGCGCCGGTGCTTTAGTTTTGAGGAAATAATATTAATAGCAATGCAATGACCTTAATTACCTGGTGCTAGCCGTGCGATCTGCGCTTGTTTTTCCACCTTGGTCGAAACAGATCTGATGAAGAAGAATTGCGGGTGCTTCGGGGCGAGCTCAGAGAGAATTATTTCGAATATCTGCGCGAATGCTCCAACTTCTGCTTGCTCGTCCAGAAGCGACCAGCAGGTCCCTTGTTTTTTTGTTAATTTTGCTGCGTCATTCCTCTGTCTTGGCTCCGGCACTTGCCCATCTACTAGAAGCAGGCGCAGCCCACATACGTAATCTGACAGGTGTCGCTTATCTTATCAGCACCTAAAATAATCCAGCCAGTTGGTAAACAGACAACATCCCATCATCAAGCCACCATAACATGACCCGCGGTCCAAGGGCGAGAGCACCACGTCAGTCGCCATGGCCGGGTTCAGTGACTCCCCCCTCGTCCAGGACATCGCCGTCCCCGGCGTCTGCCTCCTGATAGCCTTCCTAAGCTACGTCTCCCAGCTCATCTTCCACCACGCCACGACCCTCGAGCCTGGCCCCCCCTCGCAGGGGGAGACCGTCGTCTTCAACCTCCTCCTCGCCGCCCTCTGGATCACCTACTACCGCACCGTCACCACCGACCCGGGCCGCTACGTCTTCCACGACAAGGTCATGGAGGTCGACGCCGCCAAGCGCTGGTGCAAGAAGTGCGCCGCCCCGAAGCCCCCGAGGGCGCACCACTGCCGCCACTGCGAGCGGTGCGTCCCCAGGATGGACCACCACTGCCCGTGGACCGCCAACTGCGTCTCCATGGTCACCTTCCCCCACTTCCTTCGCTTCCTCGTCTTCGCCAACCTCTCCCTGTGGAACCTGGGCTACTTCCTCTGGCAGCGCTTCGCCTGCCTCTGGGACGCCCGCAACATGCCCGCCTACCTCGGCCCCACCCTCGTCTCCCTCATCGCCCTCTCCGTCATCGCCATGGTCTGGTTCGTGACGTCCGTGGCGCTGGGCATCATGCTCGTCAACACCATCAGGAGCTGGGCGCTGAACCAGACCATGATCGAGGGCTGGGAGATCGACCGGCACGAGGTCGTGGCCGAGAGGGGCGGGCGCGACTGGTGGGATGTGGTGGGCGCGGACGGCGAGAAGATGCGCTTCGAGAAGATTGAGTTCCCCTACGACGTCGGGATATACGCCAACATGTCGCAGGCCATGGGGACCTCGAACCCTCTTTCGTGGCTGAACCCGTTCGCCAGCACCCTCAAGATCAGTGAGGATGGCAAGGGCGCCGGCTGGGATTGGGAGGAGAACGGCTTCAACCGCGAGGAGGGGATGTGGCCACCCTTGGACCCGGAGAAGGTTCGCCGGGCGGCTCGAAACTGGCCGGCGGCCCGGCGGGATTTCGCAGCTGAACTCAGAGCGGTGGAGACCGAGGAGAACACAGAGGACCGGAAGGAGGCTTTCAAACGGCGGCAGGAGGAGGATTTCAAGAGAAAGCAGAGAATCATCGCTGATCTCGAAGAGGTTGGCCAGTTTGACGACCTCGAAGAAGAGGACGATGATGAAGATGAAGACGACGACGACGACGACGAGTCTGATGGAGGTGAGGAGGATGACGAGAAGTCGCCAACCCTGGGAATCTCCCTCCCATGGGTGAACTCAGACGGCGACCGGCTGCATGACTATGGCGTAGATGAAGACGCGGAAGACGGCATCGACGATGATGTCCCGCTGGCAGAGCTGCTCAGACGGCGAAAAAATACAAGACACGTAGACGACGACGACGCTTAGACGAAACACGGGCATATGCCATATATGAATATATAAAAATATATGTAGTATATATAATGTAACACATAGCAGGGACATGGGAATTTCATACTCGAGCAATTTTGTAAAACCCAAAAAAGAAACAACAGATGGTCTGGGAATAAGACAATTTTATCCTGCAAGGACTGATCCCGCTCCCCCCGTTTACCTCCCCAAAAAGCATAAACCGTCTTGTCTAGTCGAACGTTTCAAGGAACGAGACGCTGGATCCCCAAACACCTTGAATTGGAAACAGCCCGGCTGACCAGTTGCATGCCATAACATCTGAAAGAAAGAAACAAGATAGGATAAAACAGAAACAGGCAATTCCAAAAAAAAAGGAGTCGGTCTGTCAAAAGCAAAGTTTATACTGGTTACTGATAATAACGCGCGTCGTCCATATGAGTCAGATCTTCATCAGGCGTCATCAAGTTCGTTCCCTCTAATTTACCAGTCGTCATCGTCGTTCCTCTTGCTCTGCATGGCCTTCTGTCTCGCCAGGAGAGCATCTGCCAAGCTTCCCCCCAAGCTGGGTGTGGGTGTGTTACTCCGGCTGTTATCCGAGCTGCTGGCACCGTTAAGGCTCATGCCCGAGTCTCGCTGTTGCAGGCCCGCCGGCTTCCGTCCGGCAACTGGTCGCTTGGCCGGGGGAGCAGGTGGCGGCGGCTTGGCCTTGGGGGGAGGGGCAGCCAACTCCTCCACGTAGGCTCCAGGCACCCAGAACTTGCCCCGACCAGTGTCTGCTAGCCACCAACCTATGATTCCGAGTTAGCTGAGCACTTACACTAGGTCGATGAAGGAGATGCTTACCGTTAGGGTCCTTTTGAACAATCTCGATGATATCTCCCTCTTTGATGGACTCGTTTTCTCTCTGCCCGTTGAAGTCGTACAAGACCTTGGCCATGACCTTGGGAGGTGCTGCGGGCGCTGCAGCCGGAGGTGGCGGCGGTGGTGCCCGGGCAGCCCCGCTGTTCTGCCTGGTGTGAGTTGGGATTGCCCGTTCCACTGCCACCTTGCTCGCAGCCACTGGAGGCGGCGTTGGCCTGGGCACACTGACACCGACACTGGATGATGCTGCAGCTGCAGCGTGTGGTGCGGGAACACTCCTCGCGCTGTTATCAACGGGTCTGGGCTGTGCCTTTCGGTTCCCGGTCAACCTTGAGGGTCGACCACCAGGACCGCCGGGCTTAATGAGTTTGCCCCTGGTGATTGGCTTGGGGGGAACGGGGTTGCCCTTCGGCGTTGGCCTTGATGTAGAGTTGGGTGGATCTCCGGGCTTGGTGTGGATGGCACCACTCTTGTAGTAGTCAGCACGTTGCTGGGAATCCTTCAGGACCTTGACCTGCTGCATCTTGTTGGGCTTCTTGGCGTATTCGACCGTCTCGGCAATCTTGAGATTGAAGCCTCCGGGCATCACACGCTGCATCTGCGTAAACATCTCAGTCTTGAAGACGCAGTTCATGAGAGGGTCGGGCTCCTGAGGCGATCCAATTCCCAGAGAAAACCAATCATCTTGGGCAGTCGAGGTTCCAACAAACTTGATCATACCAAGACTGATGCCCTTCTCGACCGTGATGCTGGGCTGGCCGCTAACCAGAGCCTGGGCGATGATGTAAAACTTGCTGTTCGTCACAATGATGATACGCGGGCTGCATTTACTGGATCGACCGAACTTGGCTTCAAGAAGCTCTGCGCGACAAGAAAAGAGAGCTCGTTCGTTGGAGCTCAGGTTTGCAGCGTTGCGGAGCTGGGCTCCAAAACCGTTGGTGGCGTTGACTCCCAGATAATCTCCAAGGAATCTCCTGGAACCAAGCAAACTCATCCGTCTTCTCTCCTTGCGCCCTTGGAGAACAGCGTGACCCTTGTCACGTAGCTGCAAGAATTCAGCGCCAGTGCGCTTCTTACGCCAGAAGCGCTGGATTCTTGTAGCGGATTCGGCTCGGTAGGCGAGGTAGGCTCTCCACATACGCTGAATTCGAGTGGCCATGTTGTGCCAGTAGCGATCTCTCATGTGCTCCAGGGCGAAAAGTGTCTCCGGCGATTTGATGAATGCCTTGGTCACACCCATCTGCCACTCCTCCTTGGGAATACTAGTGTCCTTCAGGATCTGCCGCACTGCGGCCTCGTGCGTGCCCTCCCAAGTATACTCACCGGCGTAAGATGTGGCGGGAGAGAGGAGGAAGAATCGATCGACAAACTTGTCGAAAGACTGTCGATAAGCGAAACCAGCTCGACGGATACGGACGTTTTCTTGCAGACCAAGGTACTTGATCTGATGGAGAACGTTGGGGCTGTTGTACTCGGTCGGAGACTTGTTCTCGTTGGGCTTGATGGTTCGAATGTATGAGGGCTGACATTTCATCAAGGATTCGACCAGAGCATTGGCCGATTGTCGAATACGATCACCCGACGAGGGAGGCTGCTTTCGGTTGTCCTGATCAACCTGTGCGGGGAACAAGGTGTGCACGAAGTCGTTTCCACTCTGCTGCAAGAGATTGAGCAAGCCCTTCAGGAGCTGATCCTTGTTCTTGTCGGTGATACCATCCACGGTATAGGACACATCACCAGCGTAGTGCTTGATGATGAAGTTGCCCTGTCTGGGGGTGAGATGGGGATTTGACATGCCGTTGATGCTCTGCATGAAAGTTCGGTCGCAGGCTGCTGGGTCCGCATGGGCAGTCTTGGTGGCATCCTTCATGGCGGAGAAGATACCAGGGGGACGGATCTGCTCAATAAGGTCACACACGACCTTGTTGTCAAAGTACTTGATAGGTGTCCACTGAATCTGCTCCTTCGCATACTCTTCCTGCTCCGCCTTGAGAGTGAGTTGGATGAAAATTTGCTGGAGCTTCTCATTGACGTAGTTGATGCACAACTGTTCAAAACTGTTCTTCTCGAAAATCTCGAACCCGTAAATATCCAAGATACCAATGCTGTTGGTTGTCGCCTGCCTAGCCTTGAGCGACTTGTTGATACGCTCAACAATCCAGTTGAAAAGGTTATGGTAGATTCCCATGGCCAACGCATCACGGGTTGCTATGGCTTGTGCGGGATTTGCAGGTGATTCGATGACTTCGCCGTTTCTGGGAGTCAGGATACGAATCGTAATACCCTTGATAACCTGGTCTGCCGTCGTCTCGAGGAGGTAGGCCACAAAATCGACAACTGATCGGTCGGCAACCTCAGCATATCCACCATCATCCTCTCGGAACTGGATGTTTCCGATCCAGAGAATTGCGGCAAGCATTCGGAAGATCTTGTCTTGCTCCGCTTCACTCAAGCCAATCACCTTCATGGCGGAGAGGGTGTCCTGGAAGTCTGCGATATCGTCGATACCGTCTACGTCGAAACATTTCGATCGGCTCGTGTATACGTAGGTCTCGGGCTTCTGCACGCCAAAGAGCTGCTGGTGGTGTGCCGACGCTGCCTTGGTGAACTGGTAGAAGATGTGGAAGTTTCGCTCGTTGGCAATCTGGCTAACAACTCGCGTCTTCTCGAGCAGGTAGTTTGTGATGTCGGCTCCGACTGGTTCGCCCACGGAGTTGAAGTAGAGCTGGAGATATTTACCAAAACGAGACGAGTTGTTGTTTCGCAGGGTCTTGGCATTTCCAAAGGACTCGAGAAGAGGGTTGGTGGCCAGCACCATGTCCTTGATCTGTTGGATGTCGCCCGACTGGCCGCCAGAGACATTGGCGATGTACTGCATGATTCGCTTGGCCGCCTCGGTCTTGCCAGCACCTGATTCGCCAGAAATAATGACGCACTGATTATCGTTGTACGCCTTCATGTTGTAGTATGATGACTCGGCGATGGCGAAGACGTGTGGTGGCACTTCCAGTCGGTTCTTGCCCCGGTAGCTGTCGAGGACTTGGTCTGTGTAGATGCCCAGATCTCGGAAGGGATTGACGGAGACGAGCACATGGCCGATGTAGGTGTAGATCTCCCTTCCTTCGAATCGCTTCTTCAAGTTGTCGTTGATAGCCTCGTTCGAAACCTTGCTGAGCAGTGTCAGGTCAGATACACCGATTTCCTGCTTTTTGGACGTCTCGAAGGTGGCCTTCTTGGGTTTTGCGGCGGCTGCCGCATTGCGCGCGGCCTTGTCCTTGGGACGTCGTGCGACACCCTGTTGGGTTCATAGAATTGTCAGTCTCCATGCGTTGCCAAACTGCCGCTGCTGGGTACGGTTTCCATCAGAGCTGTACCTACCATGGTGGGCTGGGGGAAGAGGAAGCTTGGGTGTAGGCGGGAAGAGGGAGGTGCAGCGGATTACGTGCGCATGAGGCAGACGTTGATGTGATGAAAGAGCGAAAAACTCTCCAGGCAAGGGAATAGGAGAGGATGCAAAGGTCGGGTCCGCTGCTGTCGCAAGGGTCAGGTTGTGGGAGTTTGGAAGGTTGGAGTTGCTGGATAGAACAGAGATAGCGACACTATCCCCCCTGCCACTCACCCTATGGCCGATGGGGGTTGGTGATTGTGGTGCCTAACGACGGTGACGAAACGCCGACAATTTACCGCCACATGCACTGCCACAGACACACGAATCAGATTGCGGGGGACATACGTAGCGAGCAATGCCAATGGATACTACGTCGGGGGGCAGAGGCTCGAGATGGAGCACGAGCCGGGCTGCGATTTGACGTGCAGCTTGAAAGGGGGCAGATTTCCACTGGTTGGGCATGGACAGAGGCCCAGCCCGCTATCCCGGTTCTCATGCATACATTCCATGCGTTTTGGAATATGTCGGCACCTCACTCGCTTCACAATGGTGCCAACTCAAGCTTGTTTACTCCTTCATTTTTTGTGGCTGAAATTTGATATTGTTTTTTTCCTTGAAAAGTATTTATATTTTTCTTGAAGGGGTCTCGGTATCAACACTATTGAGGCTGTACGAATCACACCAATCTCCATCCAGCTCCGAGATAGATCCGCAGGGTGAAGAAATCGCACAGTTTGACGAGACAGTAGTGTGGCTTGCGTCATTATGCATCAAAAACCAGTATGACAGTCAGCAAGGTAAGGTAGCCTCGCCAAAACCCAAGCCCAGACCGCCGAAATCTCACAGCCTTTCTGTCTCCCTGCTTCACTCGGGCGGGCTACAGGTCGCCTCATCCTACCACACCCGCCCGGTCGCAACTGTGTCGCCGCGCAGCTCGACGCCCATTACACATTCGTGCAGCGTCGTCATCTGTGAGAGTAAGGAATTTGCAAATATTTCTGCCTGATGGAGTAAGCATCCCAGGCACCAACAGGCGCTTGCGAGGAATGCCCGGTCACTGTAATATTTTTGGACGTTTCATCTGTGCGGTGGTGATGAGCATGCACCTGAGGAAATATTTGCGGTAGCGGTGGTGGGTGGATAATAAGCGAAGCCAAGCCAAGCCTGCTGTTTGGATGACAGCTGCAGGTTGCTGTGCTCGCTGTAGTATCAAATGACCTCATTCCAGCCGAGTTCTTGGGGCCCGGGTGAGTAACGGGCTGAAATAGACATCAGTGGTGGCTTCAACTCGTACATCGCATGGCCATGCACTAAAAAGTTGCTGCAAGGAACAGATCGCAGGCTGGTGTATGGTGGGGGAGGGGTCATGAGATGCAAGGTCTGATCATGGCACATGTTGGGGACACCCAAATAGCCAATTGGGTTTTGGAGAGGTGGGATAACGAATCAATCATCAATTAACTGGACTAGCGGTCCTCGTGCTCTAAAAATTCAACAAAACCTGCCCCGAAGATCCTTCCAACGCCATCGTGTACATGCCAATGCTTGTGAGCCCCAGAGCTTGCTGCTCTGGGGGTAATTGAAGATCCATCGCCCTGTATATCCAAACGCCCAACTCTCAATGACCGGTTCCCTTGAGGGGAGATTCTATAACAGGAGAAAAGCGCCCCACAAGGCTGGCACTATGACGATCTTGAATAGCCGCCAGAGTATGAGCCTTGTCGGCGCTCACTGGAGTTGTTGGACGTGTATCCTCCGGGATAATTGACGACAGTTGAAGAGTTGGTTTGTACGACAGTGACATTTCCATATGGTGTACGGCCGGTGTAGTTGTTTGAAGGGGATCCTCCGCTTGATGAGCCGTAGCTGATGGTAGTGTTGTAAGACGAAGACATCGTGAGAGTTGTTGTGGTATAGTAGCTTGAAGTAGGAGTAGGTGGTTGAGGAGGGCTTGGAAGCTTGAGAGTGCTTGTTTGCGTGTTCAATGGTAGTGATAGTATTTGAAGTCTGGCTTGATGCTCTGGAAACCTGACTTTTGAGGGGAGGAGAGACGAAGCGATATATATACTCGACCGAGGGAGTATACTTTACAAGAGAACCCTCAGCACCCCCCACACACCCCAGTGTCGATACAAATGTGAAGGACGGAGCATGGCAGTCGCGAGATGTGCCGAGAAGAAGGCGCCTGAGCAGGCACCAAGGCGGCTGCATCTGGCTAATGCCATCATCCCTGGCCGGACCCTTATCCATGGCTAGACGGATGAGTCAAACGCAAGACAGAGGAGGGTGGTGCAACGGAACCAATGGGAACAGCGTCATGGGGTTTACCGTCGAGGCGGTACCGTTGAGCCTTGCACTGCCGGTAGTAGCAATGGAGGGGCTGTCGGGGAGGTGATCCTCGGACGGGAATATTGGGCTATCATCGCCTCATGGCCAGCTACGGAGAGAGCATCCTTCACACACAGATTTGTCCGGTCCTGGTTGGGGCTGTCACCATGGGGCAGCAAGGCAACTCCTCAGCCAGTGAGGCGGCGGGCTATGAACCGAGCACACATACAGACCAGGAATTTTACACTGCCCGGCTTTGCCCAGCTTACCTCTGCTCCGTGAGTTTGGCCGAGTCAACCAACGGCCGCCTCCGAGGGGCGTCGAGGTTGGTTCGAGGAAGACTTGGAATCTTGGCCTGGTGATGGCTTGGGTTAGGTGGGACCAGCCGTGTTGTTGCCTAAGGTAAGGTGCTACATTTGCAGGCATCAGCCTCCGCCAGATCACAGCAAACAGCTTGAGAGGGAAAGGCTGCCGGTGGGGCTTGGGGCGGTCTTCTGTTGTTGGTTGCTCGCAGCCAGGGCCGGTCGATTCACCGGGTTTGCTCTGGGCAAGGGCATCGGATCGTGAATTGAAGTCGCATTGGCGAGGTCACGACTGTGATGTGCCCGGCAGGTCCCACACACGCGCAATCGGGCAGCTAATGCGCGGTATCTGAGATAGGTATCGGGGACGAGCAGGGTCCTGGATTTCCCTTGCCCCGTCTCCAGTCTCCATGTACCTCTTGGCTGGAGCAGGTACCTTGCCTCAGCAGGAAGACGTCCATGGCCTCCCGCAATTGGGGTGAAGTGCCGTGTAAATCATCCAAATAGGAATACGAGAGCCCCCCAAAATCGCCAAAATCTCCCCAAATGTGCTTGTCCCCCCACCCCAAAAACAAACACTCTGCTAATTATAGACCCCCAAGATTTGGGTTGGGTGTCTTGGTCCGACGTCGACCACCACCTACAGAACTCGTTGCTGCTGCTGATGCAAGCCACGGCTGCAGGTGCAGCAAAGCGAGCACCAGGAGCACGAACAGGGCCTACGAACACGATCGCCATCCATCAATCAGCGTCCACCTGGCCATGTCATTTTCTAATCATACGCCTTGAAGCTATACTCGTACCGGTGGGTTCGGGTAGGGATGTGGTGCCCGTCTTGGTAGCCGACTTATCAGATTGCTTGAATTCCCAACCTCCTCCAGGCAGGCGACGCTATATCCAGTCACGAAACCGAATTGGAATGAATTTGTATTTGCGTTGGTCGTAGATTTTTCGCAATTGTTTCATTCACCGGCGCAGTAGGTATTACAGAGAAATTGCGTGAACATAAGTTAGTATCTCGTTAATTGATTCATCTCAGCTTGTAAACGTCGCAGCGACCAATCCACAGTACCTGACGCAACGAGGCAGCATGGCAGTGTAAGCGCGCAAGGGGCCGTCGCCCAGTCTCGATCCTTCATTTGTGGTCTACGTATGTCATGGAAGGAGAGTTTTCCTTTACACAATTGTTTCAGACAAGAGTGTTTTCGTATTCAATTCCACGCTTGGGTAGTACTAGGAAGGTAAGAGTACACAACACAATTGCAATCGCATTGCCACATCGCCTCGCGACTCTGTCCAACCCTCGCCCTCGGATCCCCCCACCAACGCATTGCGCAGAACAAAGGTGGGAAAACCATGATGGTGATTACTCACTCTCACTGGCATGAGCCGCGCGAACCATTGGCATGCTCCCAGCATGACTCACATTTGTCTATCCCACCGATCACCTACTTCCGAAACTTCCCACAATCATGTGCAAGCGGTGCAATGCAGGTCGAGTGAGTCGACGTCAGCTGCTGGCGCCAATCGAAGCTCGATTGGCTGGCTGGCCCAATGACTTTGGCAGGCTTTTTGCAGGGCATCCAGACATGCACCCTCTGACATATGCCGGCAGGGTCTGACATGTGGCATAGGGCTGGCTCTGACTCTTCGTCGGTCATTCTAGAAGCACCGGCTCTCCTGCTTGGATGCACAGCGGCCCAAGCTCACCAATATTGAATCTCACTCTGCCAAACTTACTGCATAAGGTTTGCATGTGCAGTTTTCCAACGGCTGGTGGTGGGGTGGCATTGGAGGAGGCCGACGCCCAATTTGGGAGGCCGTTGCGTTGAGCGTTCCAGGTCCAGGAACCAAAGGCTAAAACAGCCGCCTCACTGGGGCCAGCGGTGCGGGGGTGGGTTTGGCTTTGCGTGCCAGCCAGCCGCCAATTCGTTCTGGATTCGTGGCCCGTTGCTTTCCACACTCTATTTGCGCTGCCGCATCCAAAGTCAACTTCATCCACACCTTCTTCACCCTACACCTCATCTTCAGAACCATCCCGATTTCCCTCCTTGCCACAATGAAGTCTGCCGTTCTGGTCCTCGCTCTGGCGTCGCTTGCCGCTGCCAGCGCGGAGCTTAAGATTGATGTCACCAGGAAGGTCAAGTGCGAGCGCAAGACCCAGAAGGGCGACCAGGTCAAGATGCACTATCACGGCTCCCTGCAGAGCAACGGAGAGAAGTTTGATGCTAGTATGTCTTGAGCTGTCGCGGGAATTTTCAATTCCGGCCGTGGCCTCATCAATGGTTGCTAATTGATCTGTATCTAGGCTACGACCGTGGACAGCCCCTCGCGTTCAAGGTGGGCAGCGGTCAGGTCATCAAGGGGTTCGTAGCCCCTCAGACAACAGATTTGTTGCTTCACAGTGGTCAAATTTGCTAATTGACTGGTATAGCTGGGACGAAGGTCTTCTAGACATGTGCATTGGAGAGAAGCGGTGAGTACACAAGATGCGGCTTCTCGAGCCTCTGCTAATCCGGTTTGCTTAGTACTCTCACCATCCCCCCTGAGTACGGATACGGCTCGCGTGGCATTGGCCCAATTCCTGGTGGAGCCACTCTCAGTATGAGCCCAACTTCTGCTGCAGCCTCAGTGTAATGCTAACATCCTCTAGTCTTCAAGACCGAGCTCGTTGGGATCGCCGGCGTCGATACCCCCAACCCCGAGGACATCGAGGTAGAGGAGGAGAAGGGCGAGGAGAAGAAGGAGGAGGCAAAGGAATCTGAGGCTCCCAAAGAGACGGAGGCCAACGTTGCCGAGAAGGTTCAAAGCGTTGCCTCCGAGGCTGCGGAGGCTGTCAAGACCGTCATTGCCGACACTGATGACCCGGTCCACGGGGAGCTGTAAACAGCTGCATACCCATGATATGATGGAAATGCGATATTGAGCGATATGACTTACAATTGGCGGAGAATGCAAACTGTTTGGCCGATCACGGCTTTGTGTGGTCTTGCGTAGGGTAGACACGAACCTGGCGACATCCCCGTTCGTCTTCTTCTCTACTTATGACATGAGAGCCCTATTTTCCTGATTTCTTTTGGCCGTGATTGTTTCTTCCTCTAACTGAATGCTGATACGTGACGCTTCTACCCTGGCGACTGTCTGGTTGACGGGTCTGATGCTCCAGTCGGACTCCATTTGAACTAGACCACTTTTATGAAGGGTTACTTTGTCCTCTACTGGCAGCCAGGCAGCTTTCTAACAAAGCTCACTAAATTCCTCTACTCCGTAAACTGTGTCGTATCGTGAATCTGAGACCAAACACAATTCAAAGAATGTACGGTCCCAATTTCTTTATTGTTGTTGGGATTGTCATTACCAATCAAGGGACACCAAGTCCGAAACTTGACGCGTTGACTTTTACACCCACCGCTTGTCTAGAGAGTTGGATGAGATGCAACGGTTATTCCTCTGTCCGGCATGTCAAACCGGCGGGCGGAGCTTGTGCTTCCCGGTGAGGCGAGCTGACTCTCATGCGACGGGCTAAATTGAAAAAGGCAATCAGGTCTGTCTGGTGTCAAAAGTTAACCTGTCAGCAATGGCTAGGGTTTGCGAGATGTCGACTCCTTGGCGCAATAGAGCTTGGGAATTCTCTTCCTACCTAAGTGTCTTCCCGTGGCTCCAGGTATGATGGCGCTGGGATTAGGTAGAGATAGCTGTGAATCGCAAACGAGCAAATTTTTTTTTTGGATAGGAGCCTCAGTCCTCTGCTGTTTGGCATTGGAAGCTATGTCTATAAAACAGCGGATGAAGTTCCGTGTCTGCCAAGCAAGGTGTTTCCATGTTCGGGATTACGGCAGGGCCCTGCCAGATCCCTGGAAAGTACCGCGTACTCCCAGGTCGAGATTGATGAGAGAAAACCTGCCAGTTATTTGCTGCCTTTTCTCATCTCAAAAGATTTTTCTTGTTCTTAAAATTGCGTCTCAGACTCGGGTTTACAGACGAAGTGATTGTCCTACCCGCGGCCTGGGATAAGTACAACCCCTGCATATCACTCTCGAATGCCGACCGCAGGTACATTGTACAAGATATCGATGATCCTAGACGCTGCAGGTCCCTGCTTGGGCCTTGATCACGACTCGGTCTTGGCAAAGGTATGATTCGTGCATGCGCTGGGAGGCCGCCAATAGCTTGATACTACTATCCATATCATACGTGTGTCCGCCAAGACCTTCTCCATGTCGAAACACCGACATCCCGACTCAATTCCTCATGACTAAGTTAATTGGATGAAGCCATTGTGACGGGCCATTGTTCAGGCTCAACATTAGCGCGCCCAATATGGCCTGGACAGTTGAGTTAGGTATGCAAATGAGCATAGACCACGCGGCTCGCGCCGCCGTAGTATCCCTCGATCCATGAAAAGATCCGGTCCAGCCAATGCTGCGTCTCGGCGCGTTTCCATAAACAAGGCAATGTGGCCCAGGTGTCAATTAAGCCAAGGTGAAGTGCTGGGGTGTTGTCAAAGAACAGCGAACAAAGCGGGCGCTTTGTCTAACATTAAAGTGATGCTAGCTTGCACCTACCTCCTTGCTTACTACTTCCTCGGAACAATCAATCCATCCAAGCGCCTCTTCATCTTCCCTCCGCCATCTCACAAACCCCTTTCTCTTGGCCATTTAATTGTCTTCACTTCCCTTCTTGGCTATTCATTTCTTTGTGTTTTCTCGCGTTCCCTTCGATACCACAGCCTGCGTGTTTCGATTCCCCCCCTTGGTAGTTTTTTTGCTCCTTTCCTTTCCTTTATCTACAACCACTCTCCCTTGCCCCTTGGATTACGACGATCCGCAGCCCTTATTTCAGCCATCTGCCTGCGCCACCGAACTCCTAGATTAAAGAAAGCTGCACCACAGCGCCACCAACACCCCGGATGCTCTAGGATCATTGCCGCTCGCTATGCTAGAGAAGACTAAAGAGAGGTGGAGGGATTACCTCGAGGAGCATTCCAAAGTTGCCAAGGTAGTCGAATGGTTTCAAGACCTGCTCCCACCCCTCAATTACATCACGATCCATTATGCCTACTTCATCATTGTCATTGTCATTTCCTCGCTCATCTTCTGGGGTTCCTCGACCTCGTTCAACGCTGTCGATTATGTCGATTCCCTATTTCTAGTTACATCCGCTCTGACGACGACTGGACTCAACACCACCAACCTTAGCCAGCTCACCACCTGGCAACAAGTCCAGCTATGGTTCTTGTTTATGATTGGGAGTCCACTTTGGATTTCGTTCTGGACCGTCATCATCAGGAGGTATGCTTTTGAGAAGAGATTTGAGGACATTGTGCAGCGTGAGCGCGAGAGAAGGAAGAGCCTGTCCATCATTCGAGCGCCAAACCTTGGGAGCATGCTTTCTTTCGGCAAGCATTTCACCAGCGCCTCACAGAACATCATTCCTGGCCTAGGCTCCCGAATCCAATCCAATCCAGGACCAAGTCCACTTGATACGGAGCTTGCTATTGTCGAAGCGCCACCTGTTGACCCCGTCATCACCCCTGCTACGTTGGAAGCTACCTCTGCCTCGAATCACGACGATAGTGGCAGCGAAACCCAAACAGTGACTTCGGAGGGTGCCGGCCAAAATGAACTACGTATCGATGCAGTTGGAGAGATAGCTAGAGACCGCATCTCCTTTGTGGAACCTACTTCGCCAAAGGGCGGCGAAGCGCATACATCGGCATATCAGCCTGGAAACCACCTTGCTCAGGCTCGCGACAGACGCCAATCAGTTGCCACATCAGCTTCCTCGGATGATGGATTCATGCATTGGAAGACGATTTTGGGAAGTCACAATGTTACGAAGAAGGGCCAGTTTTTCGACCTCAGTTCGGATGAACGCGAACATATGGGTGGCTGTGAGTATCGGGCTCTCAAGATGCTTTCTGTCGCTGTTCCGTTGTACTCTGCTTTCTGGCAACTCTCGGGTGCCATTGCTCTGGGCTGTTGGGTAGGTACTCGGCACCCCGACCCTGCTCTGGCTAATAGCCAAAACCCGATTTGGGCGGGCATCTTCTACGCTGTGTCCGCCTTCAATAATATCGGTATGTCTTTAGTGGACGACAGCGTCATCCCATACAAGAGCGACTATTTTGTTCAACTTGTCATTGCCCTGCTCGTCTTGGCCGGCAATACGGCGTATCCCGTCTTCTTTCGATTTTCACTCTGGAGCACATTACAGATCCTTCGCCTCACCACCAAGGAAGACGATGAAAATTTTGCTCCTTGGAAAGAGACATTGGAATTTATTCTGAAGTACCCGAGACGGGTGTACACCACCCTATTTCCATCTCGGGCGACATGGTGGCTAGTTCTGGTCCTTTTCGTCACCAACATTTCTGATTGGGTGGCATTTGAGGTATTGAATATTGGCAATCCCGCGGTCACAGTCCTTTCCCTTGGCGACAAGATTATGAATGGTTTGTTCCAAGGAGTTGGTAAGAACCCTATGATCCAAGTTTGCTGTTTTGTTTCCTGTTTCATCTAACCACTAACCAGTTGTTCGCGCGGCCGGCTTTACTGTGATTTCCATCACCTCCCTTTATATCGGAGTGCAACTCCTTTATTTGGTCATGATGTACATCGCAGCCTATCCAGTCATTGTCACCATGCGAAGCTCAAATGTGTATGAAGAGCGCTCTCTCGGCATCTACGAGGATGACCCTTCAGTCATCGAACAAGGAGCACCAACCTCTCTACTCGCCGACCAGGACGAAGTCCAGAAGCCTAAATTCCTCCGTCGCCGAAAGACCGCCGCTGTGATTGGAAAACAGCTCAAGAGAGCCACTACGTCGTTCCAGGGAGTCGGTGCTGCGGCGCCCGCGAATTCCGACGAGGAGGGTCCCAGCCCGATTTCCTTCGTAAGGCAACAAATTCGCGGCCAGCTGGCTCACGATCTGTGGTGGCTTGTGGCTGCTATCCTTATTGTTGTTGTTATCGAAACCAGACATTTCCTGGACGACCCTGTCACATACAGCGTTTTCAACATTCTTTTCGAGGCGACGTCGGCCTACGCTTGCGTCGGGCTGTCGCCAGGACTTCCAACAGCGTCATATAGCTTCTCGGGTGGTCTTTACAAGGGCAGCAAAGTGGTCTTGGTGTTCGTCATGCTGAGAGGAAGACACCGGGGTCTCCCCGTGGCCATCGATCGCGCCGTGCGCCTTCCAGGAGAGAAACTGATCAAGCAGGAAGAGGAGGACTCAAGAATCCGGCGGACTAAGACGATGCAGAGGATGATGAGCCGCGATTCACAGGCATAGCGTGTCGACATTTGGGCCGATGCCAAACATGGGGCGCATAGACATACTTGAGAACGCTGGATACGTTCTCTGGTTTGGCGTTGATTGCTTTTTTTTTCACATTGCATACAGAGCAACTGAACACTGATAGATGGGATTAAGCGCTTTTTTTTAGAGCAAAATAGAAGCCACATCCCAAATAAATATTTGTCTGCCACGGACAGGATATTCTCGAATTAATAAGCCTAGTTAGCAACTCTCCGGAGAGTGCCAATATAGAAAGAAGGCCTTAGAAAAAAAACTTGCCAGTATGAAGAAATCGTCAGAGTGCATGGTGTCTCTAACAAGTAAATACAGAGCAGAAAATGCGGTTCAACATGTCCATGATTCAAATTTACATCAGTCTATGTGTGCTATATACTCATATCTACGTAACTAATCGCGTATTCATTATCCAAAAAAGAGCTTCTTTTGCTTTGGGTCGACAGACGGCGGCCGGCCGCGTTTCTTCTCCACCACTTTGGGCTTTTTGGGTTCGGGCCTCTTGGACTCGGACTTCTTAGGTTCGGGGGGGGTCACACGTTCGGGCACATCTGTCTGCAACGTATCGCGGATAGCCTGACGGGAGAGGCACAGATCTATATGCTCGTTGAAGACGCGTTCGTCCGCGTTCTGGGGCCGGCCGCATATGGGGCAGTCCCACAGCTCCTCTTCGATGGGCTCTGCTTTGGTCGGGTTAGGGTTGGGGGTTATTTCCTTTCCGTGCTTCCGAAATCCAAGGCCCGAGAGGTTCTCTTCTGCCTGGGGTGTATCGTCGCGAGGACTCTCTCGGTCCAGAAAGTCTGCCTCCAGCTCATCATCCTCTCCATCCTCAAACTCGCCTGCCTTCCTTTTTGAGAGGTTGGAGTGGTTGCTAGGAGACTCGGCTCGTGGCCGAAACCCAAAGAAGGCCATGGTATCTGGCTTTTTGGTGCTCACGAGATGTGTGCACCGCAAGCCCATCAGTCTCAGCTTGAGACCTGGTATTTCTTGCTCAATCTTCGCAAGTATTGGGAGGCCGAAATTGTAGAGATCATCGGCGAGATGGACTGCCCGAGGGGTAACGACCTGCCGAGTGAGGACTTCAAATGTGTGCAGCTTCACCTTCAAGCAGAGAGTCCTCCCCTTGCACTCGGCTCTTCTCAAGTCTTTTTCCAACTCGTCCGCAATAGACCGCAGCTTCTCCCTGAGCCCGGCCGGATCGGACAGGTCGCTGAAGGTGCGTTCAGTCCCGACACTTTTCCGCTCATACTCCTCGGCCGGCTGGATTGATGTCCTCCCAAGACCCAGATAGATTCTCAGCAGGAAATCGTATGCCTTTTCGCCAAAGAGCTGATACAAATACTGTCGCTCGGCGAAGATGTCGCCGCAGGTTTTGACTCCGATTTCCAAAAGCTCCCGTTCGAGAACCCGCCCGATCCCATTGACCTTGCGCGTAGGGAGGTCACGCATAAAGGCCATGATGGCACCTCTCTCGCTGGGCAGGAGGAACTGGCCGTTGGGCTTGTTCATGTTGGAGCAGATCTTTGCCAGCTTGGCGTTGGCGGCAATCCCCGCCGAGACAGTGACCTGCGTCCTCTCGTGGACCTCCCGCCGCATCTGCTCGACGACCTGGGCCGGCTCCATGCTATGCTCCTGACAGTACTCGGTGATGTTGAGGTACGCCTCGTCGACGCTGGCGCTCTCGAAGCGTGGGTCATAGTCGACCAAGACTTCCCGCACCTCGTTTGCCTTTGCGCTGTACTTTTGGAAATTGGGCTTCAAGAGCACGAGCTGGGGGCAGAGCTTCTTCGCCACGAACCCGGCCATCCCGGATCTGCAGCCGAACTGGCGGGCAACGTAGTTACACGTTGTCAGCACCCCTCCGCCGACAGCGAAGGGGACGTCCTTCAGCTCAGGCCGCTCGAGCTGCTCCACAGCCGCGTAAAATGCATCACAGTCGACATGGACGATGTGCTGGGAGAGGTCACGGGTGGCCTCGAGTTCAGCAAGCATCCGATCGGCGTTTCGCAAATCGCGAGTGAGATCCAGCGTGTCCAGCCTCCGCTTTCTAGCTAGGATCTGCTCAATCTTCTGGCTGAGCACCTTGTCGCGCAGTTCTTCGCGGTTGAAATATTTGGAACCTTTTGAGGCATTGTATATGATTTCAGACACCTTTTTTTTTTATACCTTGGATGTTACTTGACTATCACAGAAACAGGATAACGGAGGAACGAGGAACGAACCTTGGTCTGGTCAACCTTGTCCTGGCCAGCTTTGGTTAGAGAAGGCCCCAAGAGGTGGTACTTGAGAGTTCTGGATGCATCCTCCTGCTTCGCTGCGTCCTCCACTTCTCGCAGCGGCTGCTCCTCTACAGACAACTGGGCGTCGGTTGAGTTTTCGGGAGACGTCATCGTGTGAGGGTGTTGCTGTAAGAATGGAAATAGCGCAATGATGGGCCTCGAATGAGAGACATCATGCCCTTTTCCAAAATGGCCTTCTGGCTTCAGCGCTCTCTGGTCGCCTGGGACCGTGGTGATGAGGGTGATGATGACTTAAAGACGCGCAGTCAGCGCATCTTCGCGATTTTGGGGTTTCACGGTAGAGACACGCTATCACGTGATGCACAGGCAACAGAGCAGACAGTCTGACTCGGGATTGAGGAAGCTGGACCCTTGATTCTGACTAATCCAGACATGGCGGGGCAGCGAGCATGTCATGTCCCTGGTCTTGACTGTGGTGCGTGCCCAGCTTGTGACGGACAAGGTTACTGGCAACTCTATTGGTCCGCGATGCAGGTTCCCCTCTCGAAACCAAGCAGTTAAGCGCCGACAGACGGTACAGCCAACGTGCTGCCGGGGTGTTTGCGAGGTTAATTGGATCAATGGCAGAGTTATACAAGTGGGCTGCCCAAGGTGTCATGGCGCCTAAGCCGCCTGTACAAAAGGCTGGGTGAGCTTTTGTCGGCTTGCCGAAGCGCTGCTTCATCTTCTTCTTTGACGGCTCCGGCGCGCTTGATGCCCTTTGCCTCACGTTGCACAGGAATATTACATATCGTATGTCCCCCCAGCTGAGGGCGATAGCACCATATTGACGTCAGCCCGAGCCTCGCTCTATCGTGTGAAGATGGCCGCGCGACCAGGAGAAGAGAATGTGGCGACCCTGTGAGTCTAAGCTTGCCTTGCACACGAGCGCAAACACTTCTGACCAGGTATTTTACTTTGCGCAGATTTGGGGACGTTCACTATTTCTACTCAGGACCCGAGGTGAAGCCCAGGCATCATCGATTTGACAAGGGCTCGTACGTCTACCTGTTTGAGAATGCAAACGAGAGAAGGTGTCGCATCGAAATCGCCAATCACGCAGGCACCCCGGACCAAGATGCTTTTGATGGGTGTAAGTGAGCGCTCCAACTTCGCGGTTCCTTCTTCGCCGGCGCAAGAGCTAACCGCGACGGTCACGGCGCAGTCCTGGACCAAGCCCACGTGCGGTATTCGTACAAACAGCATTGCATGGTCGCTCTCACCGTTGCCGAATCAGTGAACCAGAACGAGTGGCATCTACCAACATTTGACCCCCGAAATGAGAACAAATACCACTACAAGCTCCAGGCGCTCGATATCTACTTCTGGACACAAAAGGATGCTCTGCAATTCATCAATGGTGTCAGGCGAGTTCTCCCTCCTGCGCAGGTCGAGATACTGGATGAACCAGCACCGCCTCCGCAGCCAGCTGCGATGAGCCAGGTCGTGCAGAAGCTTGAGAACGCTGCCATATCGGAATCACAGAGCACGGCGCCGAACCCACCGTCACAGTCGTCGTCAACGGCCCCGGCGGCGGGAGCATCTGGGCTCCCACCTCCCCCCCCTCCTCCACCACCGCAACAACAACCGGCATCGTTTGTGCCCATGGCCTACAACCCAGCCGCGCCGGCAGCTCCAGAGTCGTTCCAGCATCGGGAGAAGACCCCTCCGCCAGATGAAGACCCGCTGAACCCTCTGGCCGTTGCAGTAGCATACGACTATCAGAAACAGCCCTTCACTCCGGGATTCCCTCCGCAGGCGCCAATTCCTCCGCCAATTGCCAGTCCAGGCTTTGCTCGGCCAATTGGTGCCGCCCAAGGCCTGCCACCACAACCTGGAACACCAGGGCTTCCACACCCAGGGCTCCAACGTTCGGCGACCATGCCGGTGGGAACCCAGCAGCCAGCTCAGCAGCCGTATCAACCACAACAAGCTCAGGTGCAACAGCAGGCAAGTCCTCCGGTCTCTAGCCCGGGTCTGCCACCACCGCCTCCCGGAGGATTCTCGTCATACTCGTACAGCCATCCGACTCAGGGCGCTCCTGGCCAGACGGACTACTCGATCCACCAGCAACTGTACCGGCCAACGGAACAGGAGGCCATCGTCGGAGCTGGATATGAACCCAAGGACCCCAAGAGCAAAATGGGGGAGAACGCGGCCAGGTTTGAGAGGGGCGTCTCAGGTATGTTGAAGAAGTTTGAGAAGAAGTTTGCTTGATTGGAAGGGCATGGATACCCATATTACTCAGGAGGGGCCATCCAGGGGACTTAATCGTACTGTCATGATCCAACACGTATAGGGTCAGTCGCCATAGGAGCTGAGCCCCACGAGGGGGTTATGTTAGTGCTGTTATCATAATTTTTCTCAATTGATCAAATGCAAATTATTCCAGCAAGTCACCAGCTGCTCCCCGAGCCATTCCCAAGGCTTAGCGTCGGGAAGTTTTGCATTCATGCTTGATCTCGTCCCACAGTGGCCCTGCAAAAAGGGTGCATATTTTGCCTGCCTACTCTAGACAAGTCTAGAGGCGATATTCAGCCCAACGAGACTATCTGGAGACTCTAGGCTCTCTACTGGACGGCAGCCTACCAACCGCATTGTTCTATGGGCCCAGGGCAATGGGAATGATGCACGTCTGCAGGTCCCTCCCCTGACTGTGGCTGGAAGATTACTTGAAACGGCCATCTAGCCATCGAATGACGGAGTGCGGCGAGGTCAATGCTCAGCCCAGAACCAGGCTTCGTATTGGAACCTCTGTCAACAGGCTTACCGGATTCAATGTACATAGGACGCATTGCGCAGGCATGGTGCGACGAGTACCCCTCGTTCACATGGGAAATTTTTCCTCCAGGCCGCATCGATGCCCAGCACCTCGAATGCACACATGTCCTCAATGGGATTCGAGATGCATGTCATGGGATGGACTGCTTCCTTTGGGTAGAGGGGCGATTACATGGACCATAGGGGGCTGTAAGAATTTAACCAAGACCTGCCTGACCTGGTGGTGGTATTCTGCCCGTCTCCAGGTACTATACTCAAGTACCTCTGGAATAAACGCAGGAACGAGTGGTCAGTGACGGGCGATGGCGAAGATGACGAGCCGCTGACACTGACATCAACCATCCACTTCGCACTTCTTACTCGATAGCGCAGTCCGTACAGACACATGGCGGGAACGCGCACGCAACGACGCCTTGGCTGTCGGGCTGACCGGGTCCATTGACGGATTAGGGAAAGGCCACGCAGGACAGAATGTATTGTGTACTTGCTGCTGGCAGTGAATGGCGCTAATTGAAGCCCTCGGGCAATGGCTATGCACACAGGGACGGGCCAGCATGCACGAGAGAGAAACAGATTGAGAAACCACGTCCGCCGTGGCCGTTGTTGCGGTGAATACGTCGTACGTCCGTTGCTGTTGCCAGAGACCTGGAAGCACCCATGCCAGGGTTTGAGAAGTGTCTAGAGTTGGCTAAGCCTGGCCCCCAACTGACAGACCCCGTTCGGCGAATCCCTCGCCTGGCAGGGGCGTCGTTGACGCCAGGTTCCCTGAGACGATGGCTAGACTAAGCAGTCGGGGCATAATTAACGCCTCGCTTGTCCTAGCTGCATCGTGTGGTCATTGAGGCGGGCTTCCGTTGTGTGGACGGGGTCGAGGGATGGGCTGGAAGCTAGCGGGCGACGATGCGATAGGCAGGTCGGTCTGCGTATTCACCAGAGCGAGGGCTGGACTACGACGTAGACATACGAGGTCGGCTATCGTGCCCATCGTGATGATCACCAATTGCCCTGCCCAGGACCCAATGAGCGAGCGCCGGGGGACCCTTGAGCCGTTTAGCTAGCAGCCAGTGTCCACGTCAGTCGGGTCAATCGCTCAGTGTATGGCAGAACCGACCAACACGCTGGCCGACGCTGGAGCTTCTGAGTCTGAGTGAGTGAACGGCTCACAGCAACAGCCCACTGGCGCATGTGATTGGGTAGCGGGTCCAGCTCAGCCCCAGGCAAATGGGGCTGGTGGCGGGCACTTAGACTTGGCTTGGGGGAAGAGCGGAGGAGGTACCTGTGGCCAAGCAACGAGAGATGACCTGCCTGCGGCCAGCCGCCTGTTTCCAGTTATGTTATCCATGGATCCATGCTTGATCAGTGAATTAGTGCTCCACGCTTCCCGCAAAGGCTGCCTTGCTTCAACTCCTCAACTCTCGAGAAAGCGAATTCCTCAATCCCAAGGCTCGACTGGCGGAACAAACCATCCAATTCTCCCTCAGCGCCCGTCGCCGCGACCCTCGACCACCCTCCACCCGCCACTGCACCCGAGTCCCCATCGCCAGACCCCGCCATTACTGGCCGCCCAGCGCTTCCGTTGCTTTGGGAGCACCTCGGGTCAACCGTTGCTGCGCCCTGGGCCACAGGCAAGATGCACCTTCGCAATCACCCGTCGTCGCATTTGATCCGCCGCCCACGAGACGACCCGGGCCAGAATACGGGCGCCAATGTATTCCCTGTACGTGTTCTCGTCCGCATGAATTATTCCAGCCGTCTGCTTCTGATGTCCCGTCTTCCCTCCCCTCCCCCAAGGCAGGCAGGCCAAGCGCCAGGCAGGTCTCGGAGACACCACCACCACCGCCACCATCTAGGCCCTACCTTAGTGTGAGAGCGGGTAGTCCAGAAAGCTAACGCGGGCCCCGGGTCCTCTCATTTACAGATTGTTGCTGGAGTCATCGGCGGCGTCGCTGTATTAGCGTTCGCCTTTTTCATTTGGAGGAAATGCGTTCACGACCGCGAGCTTAGGGGGCCCAAGCCAAAGGGATCTAAGAAGAACAAGGGCTTCGGAAATCGTGTCCGCGAATTTTGGCAACCGACATACGAGGCGGCGGCATCCGACGACAATGGCAACTCTCATGCGCTTTCATCTACATCCACCAGACAGAACCGCGATGTCGAGCAAGCCACGACACAAAACACCGCAACGGTCGATCGAAATACCTCGGTCAGGTCTATCATGACTCTCCCGGCCTACAGCCTCGCAGCCGCGCAAAACGAACAGGTCATCGGCAGGGAGGGAGAACGGGATGGCGTCGACATCATCATCGAACACCCAACCCACCAGGATGAGGAAGTACTACGTGATCAGGAGATGGATGCTCTATACCAGCTGAGGCAAGCCCGTCGCCAACAACGGTCTGAGCGCGAGGAGAGGCGAAGGGAGCGAACCGACGCTAGGGAAAGAAACGACCAGGCCGCGCTCAGTGATCTCAGGCGGAGGGAGAGAGCCGCGAGCAACAGTAACAACAGCTTGGTTGACGAGCTTCGCCAGAACATCGACCGGGCCAAGGAGAATCGCCAGCGCTCTGTTTCCAGTGTCTCTTACGCTGAACTGGGTGTTGCTCGTCATGACGGAACTAGGCTTCGAGCTAATAGTCAGGAAAGCGAGAGGATGGGTCTGTTATCCAATGCCGCGGAAGTTTCAGCACCCTCAGTGCGGTCAGGTGCCAATTCTCCTAGTCTCTGGGATAGACGCCACAGCTCAGTGACCAGTTTCGACAGCGACGTTCCATCGCCCGGCTACGGACGCCCTCGTGCAGCCTCTCGTGCCTCTCGATCTGCCACTCCCACAAGGAATTCTCCCGGTAGAACTTCTCCTTCCAGACCTATCGAGGCAGATCTAGGGTTCGCGACGATGCCGCCTCCCGAATATGAGGACGTATCACTGGACGAGGAGGCCGGGCGCTCAACAACACCCTTGTTTGAACCACCGCCGGACTACCCCGGACCATACCGATCAAACTCGCAGCGTAGCAGTCGCGGGCTGGTAGCAAATCAGGTGCCAGGCTTGGGGCTAGGAATCGACCAAAATCAAAACGGGGATGACGAGATTGACGACGGTGCCAGGACGCCCCGGGCAAGGGGAGTGGGAGGTGTTCCTCAGCTTCCCAGCTTGAGGATCAGCAGGCTGCCAGAGATCAGAATTGAGCCATCGAGTGGTCACCCACAAAGAGGCGATAACCGTGACCTACCAGAGCACCCATGATGAAGCAGGCCCATTTTGTTCATGGCTTTTCTGTCAATTCGCCAGATCCAATAAAAGTTGCAGGGTGCAGTGTGCGGCCGGCCAGATAAAGAGGGGGAACGTCCTCGTGGTAAGCAAGGGCGAATGAGTATGGTAGCAAGGCGCTGGCGTTTGTTCTATTTTAGGCGTTGGTCTCATGGCAGGTGTACGGGCATATTAATTATTTTTTTCCACTATATTTGTTTTCTTATTCGCTTGGATATTATTGGTCTTTGTTTGGAGGATTTCATCTTTTCCCCTATTCATACATCATGTCTTCTCTTGGGCAAAATCGCATACATATACATACGGGGGTCTTTCATCTTTGTATATTACAGCAAAACCACTTGTTTCTCCGGGGAGGTTGCAGGAGCAGCAGTAGTGTTTAATCAAGCATGGCCACACTTTTGCTACCTCTCGCTAGAAACAACATCATCTAACCGTTCGCATCCGTCGTGCTAGCTCCTAGTTGCATGTGGAATGTGCATGTGCATGTCTAGTCTGGCTGGAAGACTTTTAGAGTTTGTTATGAGAGGGGGCAGGCAGCAAGCAGCTTGACATGGACGATGTAATCGTGATGAGATGGGATGAGGTGACCACGACAACTAGTGTGGTCTGAGTCGCGGCATTGCAGTCCCGGCCAGCATTTGTCAACATGACCAAAGGTAAAATGGTCTTCTCTATTACTCAGGCTAACAAATCACCATCACTCGCAAAGCTGATTTCCAGTCCGTTATTCAGCACGGGCTGGCAACCGTATATCCGCTGGCAGCAGCAGCCTTGGAAGCTCCACCCAGCGCCTTGCCGAGCCTGGCTTAGGGCAAGTGCGGGGTGGCTGGTCTCACTATCGACAAATGTTTTGTCAGGCTCAGGTAATCTGCCCTCGACTGGCCAGCGCTGCCGTCGCCAGTTGACGGCCGTAGCGCCATGGCATTGCTGATTCTTCAGCATCTGTCATCAAGCTCGCAGGGCCAGAGATGCTGGTGTTTTGCCCCGTTCCAGCAAGGCCAAGATCTGTCGGTCCCACTCGCGGTGCGACCACCTGCAGGCGGGCACCGCTTTGAAGCTGGAGGTGAGACATTGGGGGAGAGAGGTCGGGCTGCTCGCTCTGCTTGTCTGTCCACCGAGCTTGGGGGAACAGCTGGAATGCGTCGAATGGGCAGTATCTAGCATC